GTGAAACGTCGTCTTCCGGTGGCGATGCCAAAACGGGGTCCCGATTGCGCCCAGCATTCCGTCGAGTCGGTCAAGGGTCGGTGGGCACAGAACCGCAGGCATCATTAGCTCACCTACCTTCGAGCTTCGCGCCGAGCGAATCACGATTATCTTGCGATCCCGCGCGACCCCCTTGGAGGAGGACACCCCTCTGGCTCAGGCCGCGAAACGCAATCGTCCTCGCGACCCTGCGTATGACCTCTGAAGCACCGCAAGGTAGTCGCGGCTGGGACCTCGGGGACCCCTCGAGGTCCCCGCCGCGGATTCAAAATCCCACCTCGATGAGCCAGCGCTGGTGGTTCGATAGCTTCGGCTCGCGCACCGACGCAAACGCTGCCAGAGCAGCTGCGCACTGCAGGGCGCACGCTGTCGCAAGCTTCTAAGGATAGCCCCGAAACCCAGGACGAGGACCCGTTCCCCTCAGGACTTGTGGCCTCCACGGCAACACCACATGAGCCTCCTCTGAGGCGACATCTCTAGAAGAAGAAACAACAGCATAAACAGAAACTTTGGGCGCTCCGCGCAGATTTCTTGGATCTGCGCTGGACCCCTTTCCCTGGCGCGCGGAGCGCGCCAGGGGCGGCGCCGGAGGCGCCGCCGGGGGGGGGGGGGGCCAGCGCGGATCCAATAAATCCGCGCGGAGCGCAACAAGTTTTATGTTCACAGTATGGGCCCGACCACAAGAAACCTTCCACAATAAACCCAACCCTGAGACCCCAGGACGTCCATTGAAACTTTTGGTGCGGAAGCGTCCACACTTTCCATAGCAAAACCATCGAAACCTAAGAAACCCAGGGCACCCTGGAGGCACGCAGGGTGTTTCTTGGCGTGGGTCTCCACTGCACGGCTTTTTCCTCCTTCGAATATCAGCTGCACATGTGGGAAGAGCAGCGAGCACGCGAGACCGACAGCAGCGACGGACAGGAGTACGGAGGAGGGACGAGGGAGGAGGAGGAGGAGGAGGAGTGGAAGTTGAGTGAGGAGGAGGGATTGAGAGGAGGGGCCCGGGGATAGGTGTATGGGAGGAGGCTTTAGGAAGTGACGGATGATGCAGGAGGTAGGAGGAGGAAGCAGGGGGTTTGCGGCTTTTCGCGTGCGGAGGGAGGAGGGAGGAATGGAGGAAGGGTAGGAGGGTAGTGAGGAGAGAGGAGGAGGTAACAGGAGGAGGGACGTGCAGTGATGAGGATGGAGGACAGACAGGAGAGGAGGAGGAATACGACCTCGCAGTTGCACCACCCGTGCGCTCCGCTTTCCTCCTCGTGTTTTGTGCCCCCCCCCCTTCTGCTGCCGCTCCTCCCCTTCTCTGCCCTCACTTCTCACATACAATGATATCCCCTAACCGTCATTTGCCTTCGCTGCCTCCCTCCACTTCCTTCCCGCCTCCCCCTCAACAAGTTGATTTGCTCCTATCTAGTTTGCCCCCCCCCTCCAGTCTTTTTCCCCTGCTCCTTCTTTTGCCCGGTCTCCTGTTAACCCCTCTTCCCCACGCTCCTCCTTCTCCTCCTGCCCCCGCCCTCCCCATAGTCTGCCGCGGAGTTTCTCTTCTTTGGTGCAGGCTGCTACGGAGGGGTCTGCAGGGGCCCCCGTGGGACTTCCTGGAAATCCCCTGAGGCGTCCGCAAGTGCCTGGGCCTGGGAGCCCAACGAACCGCCCATCCGACCCCTCCTTCCTCCCATCCCACGAGGGGACGTTTACAATCCGCGTGCCCAAACTTATTTCGACCCTTTCCCTGAGGCATCGCTTGCGTCCCGGACCACTTGCTGATGGCCCACGGGCCCAGAAACGGCCGCCAGAGGCCGAGATTAACCAGAGCACGCCGCGGCCGAAAAAAAATACATCGACCAGGGGTACTGGTCCCCCTCCTCAAATCGGAACCATCGGGGGTCTCGCAGCACCGAGGCGGCCAGGGGTGCCAAGTGCCTCTGGCCGCCTCAAGAGACCCGCGGAGTCCTCGAGCATGGCCGCGGAGTCGCCGACGCGCCCGTTGACGCCGATGATCTCGTCCTGCAGCCGCACCTGGGTACTCCTCCGCACTTCCCCTCCCCTGCTCCTTCTTCTTCTGTTCCTCCTCCTCCTCCTGCTACCCCATCCCCTCTTGCTCCTCCCCATTCCTCTCCCCCTCCTCCTCCTCCTCCTCCTAAGGCCTCCCCCAGTGGGTCTCCTGTCATCCTCCTTCCTCCTCCTCCTCCGCCTCCTCCTCTCTCCTCCTCCCTCCTCCTCCTCAATTTCTCCTCCTCATCTCTCCTCCCTCGCCCTCGTCCCTCCTTCCTCCTCCTCCTCCTCCTCCTCCTCCTCCTCCTCCTCCTCCTCCTCCTGCAGACCTCTGCCGCCTGGGCTCCTGCCTGCAGCGTGCCCCCCCCCCCTGGCAGGCCTCTACGCCTCGCTCCCTGCCCTTCTCTCAGCAGGCCGGCCCCCCGCACCTGCAGCGGCGGGTAGGTGCGGTTCCACGTGGCCATCAGGCCTGCCGGGGGGCACCGTCCCAGACTCCCTCGGGCAATGGAAAAGACCTGACCGCACAAGAACGGGAAGCGCCGTTTGTGCTCATAGCAGTGTTTGTCGTCAAAGCTCTGGACGCCAGCGTTCGTACTGGGAGTTCTGGCGTTCGAAGCTGCCCACGTCATCGTTCGTAATGGAGCCTTGGGATGTCGTGGTCGGTCTGTCGTAGGCTTCTTACAAGCAATTATGCAGCCTTTTGGGGGCCGTTTTTGGGGGCCGTCTTGGGGGCCTCTTGGGGGCCTTTTTGGGGCCTCTTGGGGGCCTCTTGGAGCGTCTTGGGGGGCTCTCGGGGGCCTCCTGGACCCTCCGGGGGGGGCACATGGGGCCGAGGACCCGATAAGTCCGTTCGTGTACCTCGTCTGGGCCCCCTCTAGGAGCCATATTGACGGCCTCTTGGGCCGCCGCGAAGCCTCTTGGGGCCGTCTTGGGGCCGCCTTGGGGCCTTCTGGTGCCTTCTTGGGGCCGTCGTGGGGGCCTCTTGGGCCGTCTTGGGGCGATCTTGGGGGCCTCTTGGGCCGTCTTGGGGCGATCTTGGGGGCCTCTTGGGCCGTCTTGGAGCGTCGGGAAACGGAAAAGGCGAGAACCCCAAAAACCTTCAAAAACTATTCAAAACTCATAGATTTGTGCCTCTTTGGCGCTCTTGTGAGGCCTCTTCGAAGCCTCTTGAGGCGTCTTGGAGGCCTCTTGAGGGCCTCCTGGGCCGTCTTGGAGCTCTCGTGGACCGTCTGGAAGCCATCTTAGGGCATCTTGGAACGCTCTAGGGCGGTCTTGGAGCGCTCTTGGGCCGTCTTGGAGCCCTGGTGGCCGTCTTGGGCGCGTCTTGGTCAGATTTTTTGAGCGGAGTGACAATTTTTCCGCAATTTTCCGGAACCTGACCGGACAAGAACGGGAAGCGCAGTTTTTTATCCACCACGTGCGTCAGAGACCGTATTGGCGAGAACGTCAGTGAACATCCCTGTTGCGTTTCCTGGCTTCGGCGCCGTCTTGGAGGTATCTTGGACGCTCTTGGGGCTGTCGTAGCCTCTGGCCTCTCGGGGGCCTCTTGGGGGAGTCCCGGGGGGGGCCTTCGGGGGCTCTATGGGGCGATATGAAGCTCTCAGGGAACTCCTGGAGCCTTTTCGCGCGTTCTGGGGACTTCTGGCCGCCTCTTTGGAGCCCCTGGGGGGCTTCTTGGGGGTCTCTTGGGGCGTTTTGGGCGCTCTGGCGGGCCTCTGGCCGCCCCTTGGGGGCCTCTTGGGGGTCTCTTGGGGCGCTCTGGGGGTCCTCTGGGGGGGCCTTCGGGGGCTTTCTTGGGCCGTTTGGAGGCCCTCCGGGAGCGATTCCAAGATAATGCTGCTTCGGAGTCCCCTCCGGAGCCGATTTTTTGAGGACGTCCCGAGCGAAACGGCCAATTTTCCGGAACACGGCAGACCACACAGGAGCACGGCAGACCACGCAGGACACGGCAGACCCCACGGGAGCACGGCAGACCACACAGGAGCACGGCAAACCACACAAGAGCACGGCAGACCATACAGGAGCACGCCAGACCATTTTGGGGAATCCGTTAACGAAAAATCCCGTGCAGCGCGGCAACCCTTATAGTTAAAGAAAAGATATATTTACTCAAGGATTCAGCCAGAACGTCCCGCTTGCTTGTCGTACCTCGAAGACGCTTCCCGTCATCCGCCAACGAGTTTCGGGATGGAGCCCGTACCCCTTAGTTAGAGAACCGCCAACGAGTTTCGGGATGGAGCCCGTACCCCTTAGTTAGAGAATCTCTCTCCCTCTCTATCTCTCTATGTCTCTCTCTTTCTCTGGCTTTAAGCCCCCAAAGCTTCCGCTTCAGCACGGCAGACCAGAACAGCAGACCCGCACGGCAGACCAGCACAACACACCGACACGGCAGACGAGCACGGCAGTCCGGCACGGCAGACCAGCATGCAGACCAGCACGGCAGCCCATAGGAACATAGCAGACCAGATCATGTCATTGACGCTGCTGTTGTTGGTGATGATCATGTTGCTGCTGATGGTGATGGTGATGCGTACGATGATGATAATGATGATGATGAGGAGGAGGAGGATGATGATGATGAGTATGAGTATGAGTATGGTGATGATGATGGTGATGATGATGATGATAATGATGATGATGATGATGATGATGAGGATGATGATGATGATGGACTTCTCGGGGTGTGCTTGGGAGATGTTGGGGTCCTCTGGAGAGCCTTTGGACTAGCAATTTAAATCTGCATAGCCGTTGTAACCCGACTCTCGTTTTCTTCATCGGTCTGACCGGTTTATCAGCTTACACGGCACAGCGCAGCAACACGACAGACGTCAGCAGCACGGCAGACCAGGAAGGCAGACCACAGGAGCACGGCAGACCAGAACGGCAGACCAGAACGGCAGACCGCAGGAGCACGGCAGAGCAGCACAGCTGACCACAGGAGAACGGCAGACCATCACAGCGTTGTTGCAGCAGACGGTGCTGATACACTCTTAATTTATTGAACACGTCCCCAGCGAAATCGTCATGGTCGGCCGTATTGAGGGCACTCTGCGGGTCATCTTTGGGCCGATTTTGTTTTTGGGGGGCCGTACTGATGCCCTCAAAAACGATTCCAAGACGACGTTAGACTCATTGTTTGTTTGATGATTGTTCGGCCGTCTTGAGGGCATTCTTAGGGCATAGTCTGCCGTGCTCCTCGTCTTGGTCTGCCGTGCTCCTCGTCTTGGTCATCCTTTCCGTCGTCTTGAGGGCGCTCTTGGTGCCTGGTCTGCCGTGCTCCTCGTCTTGGTCTGCCGTGCTCCTCTCGGTTTCAGTCAGATTTTTTGAGCGGAATGACAATTTTTCCGGAATTTTCCAGAATCCGCCAGCGAGGTGCGGGATGCGATCGGTACCCCTTAGTTAGAAAAAATTAAGCCCCTGAACCAACGGTACACGCCGGAGGCGCTTCCCGTCATCCGCCGACCCCCTGGGGTCACGGCGTGTGAAATGCTTCCCCCTCCCCAAACCCCTCCCCCGGGGACCTGGTACGGTCGGTTTGGAGGGGGGGGGGAGCGGGGGGCAAATGCGTCATCCGCACACTTGGAGCCTCAGGAAGCCCCAAAACGAGCCAAAAAGGTTCCAAAGGTTCCCGGAACGGTCCAAGAGAGAGCTACGAATCGACGAAAGATCGCCACAAAACGCCGAAGATTGCCTCCACACGGCTCCATAAGTCCCCAAGACATTTGAAACAAGATTACGAGGCGTCCCAAAGAGGCCCTCCAGAAGCAAAAATCGTCCCATTCCCTGGGGGAAGCGTACGTTTTCACTACATTCGCCCATTCGGCTTCCAAGCGGCGCAAAGCGGCCCAAGAAGCCTCCAAGATCGACCCTCGCCAGCCCAAGAGGCTCCCAAAAAGGCTCCAAGACGGCCTCCGGGCGCCCCACGAAGGCCCCAGAAACCATAGCAACGGCTAAGAAAAGCCGCAGGGCGGTCACAAAAGGGCTCCAAAACTAGACGTTTGAAAACGCGACCACGAGGCGCTCCAAGAAGGCCTCCACAAGCAAAAACCGTCCCATTCCTTTGGTAAAACGTACATTTTCAGCACATTCGCGTCTTGGGCTTTCACGAGGCCCACAACGGCCCAATAAACCTCCAAGATCGACCCCTGTCACCCGAAGAGGCTCACAAGAAGGCTCCAAGACGGCTTCCACACGATCCACGAAGGCCCCAGAAACCATAGCAACGGCCCAGGAAAGCCGCTGGACGGTCCCAAGAGGGCTCCAAAACGGGCCAAGAAGGCTCCCAAGGCTGTCCGGACGGCCCACGCGGGTCCAAACCGCCCACGATTGCCTCCAGACAGCCCTGTGGGCGTCCAAGACGCTTGCATACGTGACCACGAGGCGCTCCAAGCATGCCTCCAGAAGCAGAAACCGTCCCATTCCCTCGGGGAAAGATACATTTTCAGCATATTCGCTTTTTGGGCTTCCACGAGGCCCATAACGGCCCAGTAAACCTCCAAGATCGACCTCTGGCACCCCAAGAAACTCTCCAAAAGGCTCCACGACGGCCTCCGGGCGCCCCACGAATGCCCCAGAAACCATAGCAACGGCCCTGGGGAACGGCAGGACGGTCGCAAGAAGGCTCCAAAACGTGTCTAGAGGGGCCTCACAGGCTGTCCGGACAGGCCGCGCGGGGGACGATTGCTGCCGCCCCTAGGGGTCGGCGGTGTGGCGTAAGCCAATGAATCACGGCGGGAGGTTTTTCGCTTTTCGGCCCCCAGAGGACCCAACCCGGGCCTCGGGACCGTCAAAAAACGACTCGGGATGGCAAACTGGTCCAGGGGAATGGATCGAGACCTCTGGAGGTCGACGTCATGAAGAATCATGACGTCGGGGGTCTGGGGTCAGCGAGGCAGCGGCGATGGCGGGGCTGCCCTTCCCATCGCAGCGTCTGCCGAGAGCCCTGCCCCGACTCCGGATCCGCCGCACGTTGGGGCGATCTCGGAAGCAAGGCGGGGATGTCCCGCCCGTGCGTTGCGGGCTCCTCAGAAGTGCTTGCTGTCACTGCTTCCGCCATGTTTTTCTGCGGCAATCGCCGGACCCACTGGGGCAGAAATGTCTGCTCTACTTGTTCGCACCGTGCGAGGTGCAACTCGGACATAGTTCAAGATCGAGAAATCAGCCAAGGTATGGCGGATCCGAATTCCGCGCCTCTCTCCAAGGTCACGCTAACGACGATGTCAGTGAACAGCGATGTTGTGTTGGGAATATGGTCTTTGCGACGCCGAACTCACGCAGAACAAATTGACAGGAAGGCGCGAACAAGCCGTTCCTACATTCGGGTTGGCCGCAAGTCACCCCCACCTGCAATGCCGAAACCTACATCGCCGTTGCCTGCATCCCCGTTAGCGTGTCTACGGTCTCTGCCCTCCTCCTGCTGCCCCCCTCAAAAGATAACACTTGAACCCGTCCTGAGGTGCGGTATGACCA